ATTTAAGCCTGGAGGTTTCTTTGTAGAAAGATTATTAATTATTTTTTGGGAAATCTACAGCTATTCACTTTGAAAATTTAATGTTATATTTGGAATTGAATCTTTCAAGGGGTTTGCCTATGTGTTTATGTTGTTAAATTTATTGACATGAAATTGTTTATAATATGTGCTTACTGTTAATGCTATTAATGCCTTTAGGATTTATGGAGGTCTTTCTTTCATTGTTGATATTGATAATTTGTGTCTTTCTTACTTGTCTATTTACAAATTAACCAATTTTATTGATCTTTAAAATTATAGTTTTTGATTTAATTTACCTTTTCTATTGTTGAACTATTTTTATGTTTCATCTAGTTTCATTCTTATATTATCCTTTGTTTTATTATATTTAGTTTGCTTTATTTCCTAGCTTCTAAAGTACAAATTCAAACTATTGATTTTTAGACCTTTCATTTTGCTAAAACAAATATTTAAAATTACCAATTTTACTGCGAGCACTTCATTACCTGCACTTTATTACCTTTATTTTGATATGTTGTATTTTAACTACCACTCAGTTGAAAGTAAATTCCTATGAGATTTTTTTCTTTGACCTTTGGGTTCTTTAAATATGTGCTTTTAATTTTTTATTTATATATTTAATTAGACTGTGTTTCTTAATTTTTAGATTTTTGATTGATTTCTAATTTACTAATGTTATGAGTAGAGATATTTGTAAGATTTCAATAGTTTTGAAGCCTATTGAGTCTTGTTTAGTGAACCAGCATATAGTATTGGAGAACATTTCATGTACATTAAAAAAAAAAAAAAAAAAAAAAAGCTTTCTGCAGTTCTTAGATGTAGTGTTTTTAATGCAATTAAGAAAATAAGATTAAAATCATCACTCAGATTTTCTATATCCCAACAGATTGTCTAGTAACAGTACTCTTCAATAACACTATCTGTGAAGGCGGAAATGTTCCATCTGGGCTGTCCCATATAGTAATCACAAGCCACACAGACACTGAGTATCTGACATTTTTCTATTTCATTGATTTCATTCTTGTTTTTATTATCTCCTTTCTTGTATTTAGTTTGGGTTTAACCTGTTTTATTTCCCAGCTCCTTAAAGTGGAAACTTAGATAATTGATTTTGGCCAAAAAAATCTGAGAGTAAGAGATGTATGATGCCTCTGGTGGAGCCATTGCAAACGTGCTACAATTGCATTTCCCGGTGGCCTCTGCTGTGAGACTGGCAATGATCTATGCAGGGGAGTAGTGTGTCAGTCAGTCCTCAATTAACTTGAGGATAAGGGAGAGATAACCTTTATTGTCAAAAGACTTGGGGTTTGCTACCATGGGTCAATCTAATCCAGATTTTCTCAACCTCAGCACTGTTGATAATGAGATGGATATTCTTTTGATGTGTGTGTGGGTTGGGATGTGTCTGTGAATTGCAGGATGTTTTATCAGCATCTCTGGCCTCTACCCACTTGATGCCAGAAGCACCCCGTTTCCCTTTGTGACAAATATACCGTATTTTTCGGACCATAAGACGCACTTTTTTTCTCCCAGAAGTGGGGGGAAAAAGTCCCTGCGTCTTATGGTCCAAATATAGCCTACACATATACTTTAAAAAAAAGTTTTTTTACTTGCCCGGCTCTGTGTGGTCTCTGTGTGCTTGCCTGGCTCTGTGTGCTTGCTGCAGCCACTGTCCATTCCTCCGTGCCCAGAGTGTCTGCCCCGCTCTGTAAACCCCGAGTGGTAGAGGAGTTCCCATGTATGGTAGTCAGCCTCCATGCCCTCGCTGCAGCCATATCTCCATGTCAGCCCAGGTGCGGTGTACCATAACTGCGTAATCCAAACCGTAATCATCGCCTGTACCCCTTGCTGGCCCGTACTCCGTGCCTGGAAGAATGCCGCGTCTATTCCCCCAATCATTCCTCTCCGCCCTCTGTTGCTGTGCTTGACTCTGGGTAGGCGTACTGTAGATCTCCGCCCACCAGTAAACTCCGCCCTCCGCTGGATGCCCTGATTGATAACACCGCTACGTCAGAATTTCTCTTCATACTGTTATACCGGTAACTGTCAAAATGTTTGTACTGCAACAAACTTCATACCGGTATATTGTATGCAGAGACTTTCTGTGATACCAAACCAATAACATTTACCATAATGTAAAACACTCTCCAGCCTCTTCTCTCACCACTACAATGTGTAGATACCCATAAACTATGCAAAGAAAACATAGAAAGTCTCTGCATGATTTATGGGTTTACACATTGTAGTGGTAACACTGAACTTTGCTGACAGCTTTTAGCCTTGTGAGAAGCTGGAAAGTGTTTTACACAGTACCGTAAATGTTATTGCTAAATCACAGAAAGTCTCTGCATACGGTATACAGGCAATATTCTGAAAACTACTACAGCTTGCCCCCACTATACTAGTAACATACAGTGTTTAGGCCTGAGGGCCCTTTCACACATATGCAGCTGTGTTGTTGCGTTAAAATCTCTGCTGCATGTAGTACGCGTTTTCTATGCATTTTCTGTGCGTTTTTTGTGCGGTGTGTTTTTTTCCCATTGACTAGTATGATGTATGGTGACGTGAACGCACAAAAGATGCAGCATGCCGCATCTTTAAAACTGCTGCAAAACAAACGCGAAATAAACGCATATACCTACGCAGTTTTGCTGCGTTTTTTATGCGGTAACTGTCCATTTTTTTATTGTGTCTGTTAACGCACTGAAAACGGACAAAAAACGCATACTAAGTGTGAAAGGGGCCTGACTGCAATAAAATGTGTGGAGGGGGGAGGGAGAGATATGAGAGCACCTGATGGAATATGGGGGGAAGGATTAAAAAGACATACCGTATTTGTATTTTCTACAGTTCTTTAATTACGGTTTTGCAGAAATACAGTACCATACCGCCCCCTCACTAAGATGTCCAAGCAGAAGAGATGCACATATAAAGTTGGTTTCAAACTGGAAGTTATAAAATATGCAAAGGAGCATGGCAACATGGCAGCAGAGAGACACTTTGGACCACCTCCCTCTGAAAAGATGATAAGAGAGTGGAGGAAACAGGAGGATCAGCTGCAAAAGTTGGAGAAAAGTAGTAAGCACACTTTACGTGGGCATGCTGCAAAGTGGCCAGAGTTGGAGGTGGACATAAAGGAGTGGATCACACATCATCGTGAAAATGGCTTCTTGGTCTCCACAAAAATGATCATAAATAAAGCAAAACTCATTGCTGTGGAAAAAGGAATTCAAAATTTCACTGGCTCACCATCATGGTGCTACAGATTCATGAAGCGATCTGGCCTTGCTATGCGCACCAAAACAAAAATTGCTCAAAAAATGCCCAACGAATACGAAGAAAAGATCTTGTCTTTTCACAAATTCGTCATTGATGCCAGAAAGAAGAATCAATTTGAACTAAGCCAGATTGGATTTATGGATGAAGTCCCGCTTACTTTTGATGTGCCATCCAATAGAACAGTAGACCACAAAGGAGCAAAAACTATAACCGTTAAAACTTCAGGGTATGAGAAAACCCATTACACGCTTGTGTTGTCCTGCTGTGCAGATGGTACTAAATTGCCACCAATGCTCATCTTCAAAAGGAAAACTTTTCCAAAAGAAGCGATTCCTCGGGGAGTCGTGGTGCATGTCCATGACAAAGGATGGATGGACGAAAAGGGAATGAGGCTCTGGATTGAAAAAGTGTGGTCCAAACGTCCAGGCGGGCTTTTAAAAAAACCATCCTTGTTAGTGCTTGACCAGTTCAGAGCACATATCACCGACACTACAAAAAAGAACTTTAGAGAAGTCAAAACTCATTTAGCTGTAATTCCCGGTGGTCTTACCAGCCAGCTGCAACCTCTGGACGTGTCCATCAACAAACCATTTAAAGTGTTTATGAGGGAAGAGTGGAACAAATGGATGGCTGCTGGTAATCATGATCTTACACCTACCGGTACTGGAAGAATGAAAAGGCCCACTATTACCCAAGTTTGTGAGTGGGTGAAAACCTCATGGGACTCAGTTAAGGATGAGATCATTGTACATTCCTTCAAAAAATGTGGTATCAGCAATGCCTTAGATGGGACTGAAGATGATATGTTATATGAAAATACTGGTACCAGCACCAGTAGTGACGAAAGTCCTGTTAGTGATTGTGAGGATCTGAGCTTTCTAGATTCTGACTTTAGCGATGAGGAGTTCTTGGGGTTCTCATAAAACAAGCAGAACCTTTACCATAAATCTTCAACTTTATTCTAATTTATTACTGAAGTCTCTCGTTATTGTGTTTTACAGTACATTTTGTCTTTTGCTGACTGTATTTGTTAATAATGGTTCTAAATGGTTCTAAATGCTGCTGTTTACTTTACAGGGTTGATTACATGTGTTTATGACTGTGATGTTGGGTTTTAATGCACATAAAATATTTTAGGACACTATTTGTTTCAGAATCTTTTTTTCTTCATTTCCCTTCTCTAAAAACTGGTGCGTCTTATGGTCCGGTGCATCTTATGGTCCGAAAAATATGGTAAGTGCCTCTAGGCATTTCCAAATGTCCTCTAGGTATCAAAATGTGCTCCCCTGGCTGGCAGCCATCAATAATCTACCTGACTGGTATAGAGCTATACATATGAAGAAAAGGGGGAAAAAAAAAAAGCAAAAATGGAGCTCTATGTTACATTAGCCATAGATATCGACATGAGAGTCAAACTATAGAACATTTAGAAAATGATATAGAGAGTATATTTCTTTAGGTAGGAAAATATTTTCTAAATAAGACATAAAAAATAAAAACAAGCCCTGGCTAGTGTTCTAAGTGGTTAGAGCAAAGAGTTGCAGATTCAATTTCTGGTCAAGGGCACAAAGCTGGGTTGTGGGTTTTTTCCCTGCCCTCTGCTGGGGTACTTGCGGGAGGCAACCAGATCATGTGTCTTTCTCACATCGATGTTTCTCTCTCTCTTTCTCTCTCTCTCTCTCCCTTCTACTACCTTTGAAAGACAATGGGAAAAATATCCTTAGGTAAGTATTAACAAGAAACTAAACAAATAAAATATAAAAACAATAAAGGATTAATAATTTTACTACATTGAAAAATATCTGTTCATCAAAGCACATCTTAAATAGTGTGAAAAAACAAGCCACAGAATTAAACCAGAATATATAAATGTTCCTCCAAATCATTATTTTAAAAAATGGGAACTACTCAAATGAAAAATGATAAAATAACAAGAGAAATTTTACAAAAGAATTTCGTATGAATACAAAACACTTATATAGTTATGAGAAGATACTTAGTCTCATTATTAATCAGGAATATGCAAATTAAAATCTCAGTGAGATGGGTCATATTCATCAGATTTAAAAAATTGTAATAGCTAACAGTACCAGATTGGGCAGGATATGAAGAAATGAAACTCTCATCCTCTCTTATAGATGTGTAAATTGAAGCAATCACTTTGAGAATAGTTTGCAGTCATCATTAATAGACATTCAGGCTTCTCCGAGATTTTTCTTCTCAGTGTTATAATTGCACTACCCCTTGAAATTGTGTGGCTACATGACCTTTATCATTTCCAAAGGGGAAGATTTAAGAGGTGTGAATGATTAACCAAGTTTTCCCCTCTTCCATGGTAACTGGTAACATTCCCCGAAGAAGAATGTGGGAGAGACTCTCCCTATCCAACCCCTCTCTAAGATGAAAACATAGCACAAGCAAGAAACAAACCTTTGGTGTTTTAAACACTAAGATTTTGGAAGTGGTTCTAGCACATTATGATTGCTACAGTATTACTAAATTGAACATGCCTGGATTTATTAGCCAGCAATTCCATTAGTTAGCATTTGCCCTATTGACTCTGTGCACAAAGAAGCCATTTACACAAATGCTTTGCAAGAACATTAGGGTAGTAACAAAAAAAAAAAATAAATCTATCAAATATAAAAGAATAAATAAACTGCAGTATATTTATAGTGAAATCCTATAAAGCAGAGGAAATTAATGAAACATAACCAGATATATCAACATTGATAAACCTCAAAGTATATCGTTCAGTATAAGAAGTAAGAGTAGGTATAGTTAAGTTTCCATTTATGTTAAGTGCAAAGTGAGAAGACTTCATGAAAGTTGTATATTGTATGAGAGTTTATGCATAGGTTGTAAAATTATAAAGAGAAAACAGGAAATTATTAATACAAAATTTAAGACTGCTTTTCTCTGGGTAGGAGAAGACAAAGAGAAATGTACTCAAGGAAATATGATAGAGGGCTTTTAAATTGTAATGTTCTATTTCTTAACTTGGGTGATGGATATATGGGATTCATGTTATTATTTTACTATAACCAATCCTCATATATTTTATATACTCTTCTGTGTGTATTCTATATTTCATAGGCTAACCTATTTTTAAAGCCATCAATAATAATTCTGTCATACAACAGCCCATAATATAGGTTGAACCATATTTTGATAAGTAGCCTATATAACTCCTTAAGAAAAGTCTGATTTTATTGTCCAGTGACACAGATGGATATGAAATTGATGATATTCTAATTCTACTTTTATGTTAGCAAAATGTTGGGCGATTTACTTATTAGCTCTTTTTCATTTTTATGTTTATGGAATGACAGTGATAATACCAGTTTGTTTGAAGATAAATGTTTTCAAAACACCTAATACCTGAAATACCATATCCTGTATTAAAATATAGCATTTCCACTGAAAACACATCTTAGCTTCTGACTAATGAAAGTTGAATGAGTAGGGGAATATTGGCAATCTGGATCATCACTGGCTTGTTTATAGCAATGATATGAAACACTTAGCTTAATGGGGGAGATAAAAAAGTGATAGAAAACATATAGTCTTTTGAAAGCTGCAAGTTCAAACTGTGAAAACACTTTAATAGTGCTTTTTGCATTATGAAAAAAATCTGTCAGGGGCATACAAACACATAGGTAAAGTGTTTTGAACAGAGTATAAAAATACAAACTTCTTACTTAGGAAGTTAGCACTGAATGTCAAAATGCCATGTTGCTAACTCTGGTGTTAACTTTGAAGATGACAGGTAACCATCCATATAACATTCGTTTTTCAAATGGTCATAAAAAATATTGTCACTGCCAAAAGCACAGCTATAATAAAATACCAGTTTTCCATTTATTGAAGTGCACAAGGTCTACTACAGTGCTTTCTTCAAAGGCAGAACATTAAAGAGAGGAGATTAAGGCAGGTCTGGATGAAACAGGAGCTAAAGGGCTGACTCCAATGTGGGTGAGCACAGATGTAATGTCTGAGGCAATCTGAAAGTATCAGGTGGGATCTGAGATCACAACATTATCTATGGGATATGACCTGATGGGGGGAAGCACTCTAGTAGTAGTACTAGACAATGGCCACATTCATGTCATGGGAATTCCTCTGTGTTCAAACTGGACCCCAGTCAAAGGCAGACATATAGTTATTAGGGACATTCTGAGAGAAATTGTAGATTAGGACGTGGCAGACTGGAACACAGATTAGGGTTTGCTAATAAGGAATGTAAATCTGAACCCCAAGTAAGCTACTAATCATAAAGGACATAAAATGTGACTGTTCTAGCTGTGTTAACATAAATGTCTATGGGCTCATACTAAGAGCATTATATTTCTATTCAAAACTCTTCTTAGCTACAATAGAATGCTAATATCAATAGTCTGCTAGGTGAGTCCCAAATTTTGTAGCGCACATAGCTACATTTTCAAAGTGAAGGATTCTAAAACTTTATTTTGCCAGGCCATAAAGGAAAAAAGTGGTTACAGAAACCATCCTGTTCACTAAGCTCCTTTAATAGATATTTAGAAATTTTTATTTAATTATATAATTATTGAAAGATGAAAGTTCTCTGGGACTACCTATGTTTCAGAATTGTGATGGCTATTTTCTCTTTGCCCTTCTAGTTTTATTTTCACTCCTTCACAATCCTCTCTGTGGCCCATAAGGCTGACATCTAGGGACTGGTTCAATGGACATCCTTGCCCTCTGACTTCTGGATGGATAGACCAATAGGAATCTCCTGCAATAGGGTAGAAGACAGAAGGGAAATAATATTGGTTATTCATTTCCTATGTTAGCTAGTCTTCACCAGTGTCCCCCACCAATTCCTGTTAATACATGTCACATTTCACATCACAGGGTGGAGCTTACTTCTGCTTTCCTTGGATTTTGGGATGGCCTTTGATTAGCTTTGACAAATAGAATGTAGCGGAAAGCCATTCTGGGATTTCTAAGCCCAGGCCAAAGAGAGCTGGAAGCATCTACTTGCTGCCTCTTGGAAAGGAGCCTCTATGCAGGGAGAATCCCAGATAGAAGGAAGAATCACAAATGTGAAAGCAGAGGCACTCGCTACATCAAGTACTAACCTACAGCCACATGAGTGAGTTTCATGGTAGCCAGCAAGTCTCCAACATGACACCCAATAAAGGTAGTTTTCTGTTATTCATATCTTAGTGAAGTCCCCTCACAGACAGCACTAGTGCTGGTTTGTATGACCAACTGAATAGCACGGAAATGATGATAGGTCCTTTCTGAGATCATAAATTGCAGTGTCTTTCATCTTGGTGGCCCTTTCTCAGGTCACTCATTCAGGAAGCCAGCTGCCGTGTCCCAAGGACAATCAGGTGGCCAATGGAGGGGCCTGTGTGGTGAGGAACTGAGGCCTGCCTAAAAACACATGATGTGGACTTACTAGACTTCTGTGAATTCAATTTAGTAGACAGCTTGACTGCAACCTCAGGAGACCCCCTGAGCCAAAACCAATCAGTGAAGCTGCTCCCAGATTCTTAACCTACAAAAGCTGTGAGGTAACACATTTTTATTGTTTTAACCTACTAGGTTTTGAAATAATATTTTATACAGCAATACATAACTAATGCATACATCTGAGCCATTTAAATTCAGTTGAGCCACCAGATGATGATAGCCCCAGCTGACAAGAAGAGCAGAAGAAGCCATCTAACCCAAATTAACGTATAAAATCACTAAAGGTAATAAAATAATGATCATTTTTAAACTTTACATTTTGTAATGGCTTGTTTTGCAGCAATAGATAAACAAAACAGAAATGTGTTACCCAAAAGTGAGGTGCTACTGTAACAAAACCCTAAAACATGTAGCACTGGCTTTGGAACCAGGTAGTGGGTGCAGACCACGAGAACCTCAAAGAGACAGTCAATGGAGGCTGGTAAGACAGTGAGAAAATTGTTGAGCCTTGAGAAGAGGTGAGTTTTTGTCCAATTATGTAGAGGGAGAATGTTCGGAAAATGCAGTAACTTGTGGCAATATAAAAGATAGATAATATATATGATGAACTTGTGTATTTGGCTAAGGAAGTTTCTAGGCAGAATGTTTATGTGTCAACTGGTTTATTTCAGTGTACATGGTCATAGTAGGGTGAAAGGAATTAAAGAAGGAACCATTCAATTTGCAAGCAGTATCTAGAGTAAAAGTCAGCAAACATTTTCTATATTAAGCCATATAATAAATATTTTATTAATTACAGGCTCTATGGTGTCTATAGAAACTCTGCAGTTGTAGCACTAAAGCAAGCATAGAAAATATGTAAGTGAATAAATGTGGCTGTGCTCCATATAAAAAAAAAATGACAAGAGCAGGTGTCAATGTGGATTTGTCTTTTGGGTCATAGTTGACCAACCTCTGATCTAGAAGAAATATTTCAAATAAGGATTTCCTGGTTGAAACATAAATAGTTCTCATATTTAACGCTTTCAGCACACAAAAAGTTTTCAGAGTAAATTAAAGTCTTGAGGTAAAGAGCAAATCCAGAGTGCTGCCTAAAAAAACAGCCATGGCATGAAGATCTGTTCATGTGTGGGGTGGAAAGACTTGTTCAGCTGATTAGGATTTGTCATATAGACCCTCTCAGCTAGACAATAGGGGTTTTAAGAATCTTAAGAGCTTGCCTTGTTGACCTCAACTACACAATAGAGTTTCTAAGAATCTTAAGAAAGTACCTTTTGGGCCCTTTTGGCTAGAAAAGAGGGATTTCAGGAATTTTAATAATATTGTCCCCACATCACTGTTTCTAAGGCCAAAGTAGAGAGAAGTGGGTGTTAAAAAAATCCGTCTTAAAAATATAGTACAGATACATAGGAAGGCCAGAATTTTTAACAGAAATTTTAACAGTTTGAACTAAAAGAGACAGAGATACTTCTAAATGAAAAAGACCTCTGTGTTCTTAACCTCTATTGAGCAGGATACAAGCTGAGAAAACTACTTAGCTTCAAACATATTCCACTTTTTATGGAAAAGTAAGGATGAAACAGGAGGCCGAGCCATGGCAACCATTCTCTGGGAGCATAAGTTGTCCCTAATCAGGAAAAATTCTTTCCCTGGAGATAGTGATAATGATAACCTTCCTGCTAGATTTCAGAATTGCAATGAGTCTTCTGTTTTACCCTTTTATATTGGAAGATTCTATTGTGGCTGCCATGCCCTTTCATCATTATTGTATGTTGGGTGTTTGTGGGACAGATGATGGTTTCTTTGGTGTGAGTTATTTTTTCGTTCACAGGTACTCCTGAGGAGCTTCAGAAATCCACGCCACCTACATCTTGCTCTAATATAGACAAGAGCCTTGGATATGAGCTGATACCTTAATGGGATGGAAATGTGGGGGGGTCTTGGGAGATGGTGAGTGTACTTTGTGAGTTTATTGTTACAGACTGAGGGCAGAATCCGGAGTGCCTTTCCAAATTCCTTCTCTAGATGTATATGTACGCAACTCCTAATATAAAATATGAGTTGAAAATATTCTTTAAATATGACCTGCTTTTGTTACTAACTCTGATCAGTCAAATGGCCATGGAATTGGCGAGATTGCTGTTTTGGCACTCACATACCCAGGCTTTAAGGTGATTGGTAATGTGATAGATATAAAATGAGCTGCTGGGATCAGACTTCAGGAAGAACTTGCTATTCAACAGTGAGTAATGAAGACAGCACAGCAGACAGATGTCAGGTGTTGGATCCTTCAGCATCTCCCTCATTTGTAGAGACGTGGTTTATCTGAGGTCATGCCCTTCCTGAGGATTAAATAAAGGAAGATTATAAAGATCTGGCCATTTTGGCCTGATGTGTGATGTCTGCAATTAAGTCAACCCCATTACAATTTGATTTTTGCCTTTCCTTTACCCAATCTTACATTTTATTTATTTATTTATTTGTTTGTTTGTTTGTTTATTTTTACCTTTCTTTCCCCTTAGGTGTTCATTCCTAATAAACAACTTGTACCACAAACTTCTCAGATCTTTTGGAGAATCCAACAAGTAAGTTCTACCTCCTGCTGCCCTTCAGAATCCAAGTAGCAATGCTGGGAAAAGACAAATCTATGGAAAAAGGCCATATGGAGAAAGAACACTGTGGTTGAGCAACCTTACTGAGTCTCATGTCAACAGATAGTACCAATTGGAAACTATGTGAATGAGCCATCTTGGACCTTACAGCCTAATTGAACTTCCAAATAACTATTATCCTTCCTGAAACCATGTGGATCTGAAGAACAACCCAGTGAACTCAAACTATGGGAAAACGAACAATAGTAAAATGGTTGTTTTAAACCACTAAGTTTTGGGGTGCTGTGTTATTCAGCATTGGTTTACCAAAATATTTACCCATTATGTCCATGCTAGATAACAATTGTGCTCCCCTTTTGAGGGTCATGCCTGTCTGACAATATCTTCAGTAGCAACTTTCCCTGGTTACTATTAACTAGTATTATTTTCCCCATTTTTGGTTTGTTTGTTATTCTACACCTGAGGATATTTTCCCATTGATTTTTAAAGAAAGTGGAATGGAGGGGTAGAGACAGAGAGACAGAGACATCAATGTGAGAGAGACATGTCAATTAGTTGCCTCTCACTTGGGCCCCAACCAGGGCCAGGGATCAAGCTTGCAACTGAGGTACATGCCCTTGACTGGAATCAAACACAGGACTCTTCAGTCTGTGGACCAACACTTAACTATTGAGCCAAACTGGCCAAGGCTATTTTCCCCATCTTGATAGCCCCAAATTGTTGTGCATCTGTGGTGAAATTCAGTATTGCTTTTTCTTATTTGATATAAAAAAATAAAATATCTCCATGCTTTTATAAAAATCAAACTGACATGATTTCTACATACAGGAGTTTTAAGGGGCAATCTTTTAGACATTACTCTCTTTCTCCTTCCTTCTTGCAGATACAAATCTTATCTTTGGAAAGAGGCACTTTGGCTTACCCCTGCTTATAAACAACAGGCAAGAGGTAAGGCCTATTAATCTCATGGACTTTCCAAAAAAGGAAAAACAATCATTAAATATCTCTATCAGAAGGTCTTAGTCCCCAAGTAGGACATTTTCCTAAAACTGTGACATAACCAGTAGTATTTGACAATCTGACATGCTTTGAACAGACTGTGGAAAATGTGGCCTTAAATAAAAGCAATTAATGTTAAACTACAGCTTTGTAGGGAACTTGTCAGGTGATCATTTTGGTCCAGGAAAACATTTAAAAGATTTTTAATATATTTTTTAATCATTTTATAAAACAAAAAATTCTCTTATATTTAGTTTTTTACCCTTTATTAATAAGATCAAATGAGTATCAGCAGTCTGGTAAATAAATTGCTTATTAAATATCTACTCTATAAATGATAATTTTTATATTTGTGCTAGTTGACATTAGGTATTTAGAAAACTTTTGAGTAATTTTGGTAATCCTTTACTCATTTTTAAAATTAAGGTTACCTTTAACCCTTGGTCTAGGTTTATGTATATTATCTCATTATATTATCATTATGATTTTTATTATTGTCCCTTTTTATTTTTAAAACTATACTTCTTTGGATGACAAATTATATGGTTACTTTATCTTAAGACAAAACCATGATATTCTTATATCAGAAAATATTATTAGAAATGTTTAAATATTTTAAATACTAGTATTTTTTGCCAAATAATATTGAAGTATCTTTAAATGTATTTGAAATCTTAAATAAGATTAACATAAAATTTTAAAGAGTTTAAATTACTTTAGAGATAATTAATTGAAAATGTATTTTCTCAATTTAAGATAAGCTTAAAAGTAAGTGTACATTTCATAAATTGACTTTTATAATTCTTATCTATAGAATATTTTCCAGTTACTTAAAGAAGACAAATGAGATTTGAAATCACAAAGTAATTAAAGGTGTTTTTTTTTTTTTATCAGTAGCAGTTACACAAATTAGAAGACTTGTCAGTTTTATATTAATATTTAATAACTTGATTAAACTTTGACTGAAAGCCTATTTGTTTACATATTATGTAAATTGATTTTGAAATAGAGTTTATAGATTTAGGTAATGTTTACATTATGTCAGTTTCTAAGTTTATATATTCCATGTTAATTTTGGTGCCTATAGGATAAATTTGAATTTAGGAAAAAAATAGCAAAATAGTAGAATTAGTGCTTAAGATTAAATTTTAACCTTTTTATTCTGTTAGCTTTATTGCTTTGAAATTTGAAAAGAAATCATCTGCACTGGCATGAAAACAATCCATGATAGTTGTTCACTCTTTTGGAGCTTTGTTTGCCAGCAATATCCCCAACTCAGACCCATCCTCTGGTCTTCTTTTCTTTGAGTCTTATCCCTATGAACTGCACCACTCAGTCTCTCTTGCCCTAAACATCAGGTGAAAGACTGGTATCCAAAATATACCAATGATTCTTAAAACTCAACAATAAAAAGACAAATAACCCATTTAAAATGAGCAAAGGACTGGACATCTTACCAAACTAGAAACAACAAAGACATTCTTCATCAGTGAATGGATAAACAAATTGTGGTACATTCGTCATTCGGTGGTAAAATAAATGAACTATCACCCCACAAGAAACATCCTTAAATGCATACTTCTAAGTGAAGAAGACAGACTGGAAAGGTTATATAATTCAAATTATATGACCTTCTGGGAAAGCTAAAACTATTAGAGACAGTAAAAAAGTCTAGTGATGACTAGGAGTTCAGGAAGAGAGGAGAAGGCTCTCACAAGATAAAAATAATTTATTTGAGGGGTTGATACAGTCCTGTGTGATATTGTAATAATAAATAAATAATGTGTATTTATAAAAAAAACCTATAAACTTTTTAGCACAAAGAGTAAACAATGTTTGCAAACATTAAAAAAATATATCTAGCATATTGGAGACTCCAAATTGTGATAAAAGAATCTGTCAGTATTACAACTGTATGAAAAAATCCTCAATGAAGAAATTAGAGAAACAAGGTGCTTATACAAATAAATTTTGGAAAACAGTGGAGCCTATGATGCTTAAGGCAAAAAGAACTGAACACTATACTTTAGTTGACAAAGCTGTTCCCTCTAGGGGTAAGAGTTAACAGTGTATATATGGGAGATCCAAGATGGCTGCGCCCAGGTGAACACCTAGCCGCAGCCGCACACAACAATTTCAATAAATTACAACTAAAATATAAAACGGACATTGCCCAGAACTACAGGAAGGTTGACTGACTGGAAATTCTACAGCGAGAAGCAAGGAGAAAACCAGAAGGAGGCGCGGAGGAGCTGGAAAAGCCCAAGGTACGGAGACACGCGGCGCGCGGAGAGGATGGAGCCGGAGAGGAGGGAGGCCGAGTGCCTGGCGGGCATTCCCTAGCGGAAAGGAGATAAAACTCCGACTGTGCTGGGCCCCTGACTGCTCTGAACCCCAGTTCCAGGCCAGACCCCGGGGACTCAGGCTCAGCCATAGGGAGCTGGGCTGTAAGGCGGAACCCCGGGGAAGTGGCGAAAGGAAGTCCCGGAGGCGCGCACACTGCGTGCAGAGAAGGGACAGTAGGCTGTGCCGCGAGATTGCCCTGACGGGAAGGAGACTGGGGCTCCAGACTGCTCTGAACGCCACCTCCAACTCCACTTCCAATTGAACTGAACCCCAATACCGGGCTCATTGGGGGAGAGCATAGACTGTTTGGCAGCAGGCGAAAATCAAGGGCACCTTTCTCTCAGAGGCGCCGGCAGCGAGCACTGAAGGACCTGCATAGGGCGGGGCTGACGGAAGCCAAAGCTGCAGGCTCCACCCTGAAATCCCGTCCCATCTGTAACTGCGAAATGCAACAACAAAATAGATCACAAACAAAAGAAATGGAGGACAAAAAGCGTCTGGATATAGAGTTCAAATCTACGCTTATAAGGTTTTTCAAGAATTTCCTAGAAAAGATGGACAAGGCCTATGAGGATATGAAAAGAGATCAACTAGAATTAATAAGGAGTCAACAAGAAATGATAAGGGATCAACAAGAAATAAAGAATACATTGTCTGAAATAAAAAATATTTTACAGAGTCCTAAAAACAGAAGGGAAGATCGCAAGAATCAAGTCAAAGATTTGGAACATATAGAGCCAGAAGACACTCCTCCACAGAAGCTAGAAGGCAAGAGAATCCAGAAAATTGAAGATAATGTAAGAAACCTCTGGGACAACTTCAAGCGAACCAACATCAGAATTATGGGGGTCCCAGAAGATGAGAGAGAGCAAGATATCGAAAACATACTGAAGGAAATAGTGACAGAAAACTTCCCCCACCTGGTGAAAGAATTAGACTTGCAAGTCCAGGAAGCACACAGAACTCCAAACAAAAGGAATCCAAAGAGGACCACACCGAGACACATCATTATTAAAATTCCAAGAGCAAAAGACAAAGAGAGAATATTAAAAGAAGCAAGAGCAAAGAAGGTAGTAACCTACAAAGGAGCACCTATACGATTGTCAGCTGACTTCTCAACAGAAACCATGCAGGCCAGAAGGGAATGGCAAGAAATATTCGGGGTGATGAATAGCAAAAACCTACAGCCAAAAATAATCTACCCAGCAAAGCTATCACTCAGGATCGAAGGCCAGATAAAGAGCTTCACTAATAAAAAAAAGCTAAAGGAGTTCATCACCGCCAAACCAGAATTATATGAATTGCTGAAGGGGGTTCTTTCAGAAGAGAAAGTAAACAAAGATAAAAATTATGAACAACAAATATGTAACTATCAACAAGTGAATCTAAAAACCAAGGAAATTTAAAAAATCTGATGAACACTATTAACTGTTGAATATAATAGAATCAGAGGTATGGAAGGGGAGTGAACTGTTTGTTCTTGGGGAAAAGGGGAGAGGGGGGCGTGGGAAGAGACTGAACATAAACTGTGCACCTATGGATGAGGACAATGGGGAGAGGGAAAAGGGCAGAGGGTGGGGTGGGAACCTGGTGGAGGAGAGCAATGGTGGTGGGGGGGGAGGAACATTTGTAATAATATGAACAATAAAAACTAAAAAAAAAAACAAACAAAAAAAAACAGTGTATATATGTGTGTGTGTGTGTGTGTGTGTGTGTGTGTGTGTGTGTGTTGGGGGGGATGAATTGAACAACTGAACAACTAAAATGTGTGTGTGTTTGAACTGAACAACTAAATAAAGTGTAGAGCTTAGGGATAAGCAAGGGGAAGAGCTACAGTGATCTCTATGGTAAAGAATTAGAGCTGGAGACATTTTTATGAATTCTTGTTTAGCTTAATTTAGAAATAGATGGTTTACATATAGAAATATATTATACACAGGGAAGTATAGCCAAATATAGTTCTTCCTGTCAACTGAGAAATCATAGATTCAATGACAACCCAGTAATAACAGGTATGTCTAGCACCCAGATTTTGGTTTCTAATCCCCTTATCCAACAAAAGGAACCAGGGCTTCTTGGATAAATAGGACTGGGTCAGGAATTATGTAAGATGGGTCTGGATCATTATGTGGTGCTAGAAAGTAAGAAAATGTTATGGATTAAACTTTATACCTACCGCCTAAATTTATATATTGAAATCTAATCCTCAGTGTGATAATATTTGGAATTGTGGCCTTTGAGAGGTATTAGGTCATGTGGGTGGATTACTGTATTTCTAAGAAGAGGCAAGAGAGGAAGCGCTCTCTCTCTCTCTCTCTCTCTCTCTCTCTCTCTCTCTCTCTCTCTCTCTTTCTGCCATTGGAGAAAATGAGAGAGAGGCCATTAAACCTTTCCAGAATGAAATTATCAGTTCTGGCATCAGGACAAGCCTTTGTTCAAGGTCTCAAGGCCCAAGTACATATGGGCTCTTTAAGAACTTGCAAAGGGGGCCAGAAACACCTCATATTTGGGAGACAAAAAAGGTAAAAACATATAAATAGGAAAAGTTCCTCCCTGGTTGGGGCCCAGAATTTGAGAGACATTTTCCTATGGACCTGTGCGTAATAAATGTAACCCCATCTCTCAAAGTATTGCTTGTTTCTTCTCTGGTTTTCTGTAACAGTGGGAATAGGGGTCCCCACCATTCAAAAATCCACTTATAACTTTTTCTTCTCCCAAAGCTTAACTTCTGATAGTTTACTGTTGACTGGAAGCTTTAATGATAACATCAACAGTCAATTAACACATATTTTATGTTACATTGATTATATACTGTATTTTTTAAATAAAGGAGACTAGAGAAAAGTGAATATTAATAAAGAACATAATAACAAAGAGAAAATACATTTACAGAACTACATGTAATTATTGAAAAATACATATATAAGTGCACCCATGAAGTTCAAACCTGTTTTTTTCAAAGGTCAGCTATGTAAGGAAACTTGAATAAAGGATGGACTTAAGTTAGTTCATGATTCATACTAATGTCAGACATAATCAGAGAAGGTATTTCAATGCAGGGCATAAATGAACTCTGTATTATCATCTATTTTTTTTTCTGTAAATCTAAAACTATCCTAAAAAAATAAATTCTACTTTGAAAAAGAGAGTCTATCATGAAGTCTGCCACATAATAGGTTTTTAATCAGTGCAAAGTTAGGAAAGCTGTACCTTCATGAATTCAAGAATTTTACTCTAGAGAATAGAATGAAATATAACAGCTTAAAATAAACCAAAGGACTATCTTCCTCAATTTTTGTATTAAGAAGGAAAGTAAAAACAAGAGGTGGTAAATGAATTGCATAGAGTTGTTAAAAATTAGAAACCTTTCCCAAACAGAATTGCTCAGCTATTGATACCCCAAATTATTGGAGTATTTATCTGTATATCTTTATTACGAATTAACCTTCCTAACCTGAATAATTCTAATGTCATGATGGGATAAAGTAGTTAGGAGCCTCAGTTAAGGACTTTTAAGATAATCAGGTTGTATAACCACAGATTTTAGAAAAGAAGATCTTCTCAATGTAAGTTAGCCATTAAATAATTAGAAATCGAAGGAGTTTAAGGGATTGAAGCCTGCCCTGCCCCAATGTGCCTCAGTTGGTTGAGCACTGTCCCATGCACCATCAGGTTGCCTATTTGATTCCTGGGCCCTGGGTTTTGGGCTGGATCCCTGGTGGGGGTATGCAGAAGGCAGCCAGTTGAGTTTTACTCTCACATCAGTGCTTCTTTTTCTTGCTCCCTCTCACTTCTTCTCTCTTAAAAATAAATTAAAAAACATATTTTGTAAAAATGCTATATTCTGTTTAGCTTGTAGAAAACTGTCATTCAATTGAGTTATTATAGGGCTCATTAGAAGAATTGAGAAAAAAGCAAAAGGTTTTTTTCTGTTAAGGGCCTATAGTTAGAGAAAGGTTTTTACTTTTTAAATTCAATGATTGGAATGATAATAGACCAAAAGTAATCCCTAACACAAGTATCCTCACAAATAAATTCATGGTTGAGCTAAGTTATAATTTAGCTTATAGGTACCTTATATCCAGGTGTTGACATTTATTTAAATATTTTATAATAAACATCTTTATTTAGTTTTGAGTCATTGAAATAAATTAATCATTATAATATTTTATAATAGGAAAGGCTCAATTAAGTCTAGGAACGTGTATTCCATTTTTTTATGTTTTTCATTCAGGATAGAAATTGGTTTAACTGTTAGAACAATGCTATATTAAATAGATGTCACTCTCCAAACAATGAAAAACATAAAAATTGCAGAAGAACTAACCAATTTGAACCTTTTATACAATGCAAATAGACCAAATGCATTGGTCATCAATATCTTGTAGAAAATATAGTTGGTAGGGATAGTAAATTACAGTTGCACCATTTTTCTAATAGTTGACATCTGCTTACACAGATGATGGCAATTATTAAAAATTGTGTTGAGATTCATATACTAGTATACAATACAGCAGTATTAGAGATTATTTGAGAATAGAGGAATGCTTTAGAAAGATTAATATTTCAAAACATTTACTGTTGAAGCAAAGCTTAAATAAATTTAACAATAGTTCATAAGGCTTCTAAATGTTTAATGACATTTGGCCCAATGTCATTTTTAAAAGAAATAGAGTGAGAAACCAACATATTTATATGGAATCATAAAAGACCCCGTATAGGCAAAACAATCCTGAGGAAAAAAAGAATGAAGCAGGAGGTATCATGCTACCTGACTTCAAATTATACTACAAAGCTACAATAATTATAATAGCATGGTATTGGGAGAGAAACGGACACAGAGATCAATGGAACAGAATAGAGAGTCCAGAAATAAAACCACATGTTTTATTCTCAACAAAGATAATTTTCAACAAAGGGGTCAGAAACACACAATGGAGTGAAAATATTCTCTTCAATAAATGGTGCTGAGAAAACTGGAAAGCCACATGTAAACGAGTGAAACTGGATCACAGTTTGTGCTCATGTACAAAAATTAATTCAAAATGGATCAAACACCTAAATATAAGACCTGAAACAATAAGTTCCATAGTAGAAAATATAAACGCCAAACTTATGGACCTTGGCAGAGAGAACATTTTATAAACTTGACCCAAAGGCAAGGGAAGTAAAGAACTATATAAAACTAAAAAGCTTCTGCACAGCAAAAGAAACTGACAACAAAACAAAGAGGTAGCCAACCAGAAGGAGATGATATTTGCAAACAGTAGCTCCAAAAAAGGTTTAATTTCCAAAATATATACAGAACTCATTAAACTCAACACCAAACAAAAAACCCAATCAAAAAGTGGGCAGGGGACCTGAAAATTCACTTCTCCTGAGAAGACTTATGAACAATCAACAGATATATGCAAAGATGTTCAATCTCACTAGTAAATCAAATTTCTCTAATTTGCATTAGGAAAATGCAAATCAAAACTACAATGAGATACCACTTTGCACCTCTTAGAGACAAGCAATTACAAGTGCTGGAGAGGCTGTGGGGAAAGGGAACCCTACATTCACTGCTGGTGGGTTCCACAATCTCTATGGAAAGTAATATGGCAATTCCTCAAAAAATTAAAAATACGACCCAGTCATCCATCTCCTGGGCACATGGAGAAAAACTCAAAATCATGTATTCACAAAGATATATGCACCCCTATGTTCATTGCAGCAGTATTCATGGAGGCCAAGACATGGAGACAGCCAAAGTGTACTGGGATAGAGGACTGGATAAAGAAGAATGGAATACTACGCAGCCATAAGAAAGGATGAAATACCGCCATTTGTAACAGCTACATGGACGGAGCTTGAGGTTATTATGCTAAGTGAAATAAGTCAGTCAGAAGAAGCTAAGAACCATGATTTCACTTACATGTGGGATATAAAACAGAAACTTGTGAACTCAAACAGCAGTGTGGTGATTGCCAGAGGGAAGGGGTCCTAAAATATGGTGACAAGAGTGGTGGGCTCACAGTGCAATAGACAGATCATGTAACACAGAAACCCACACCTGGAACCTATATGGTCATGTCGAAAAGTGTCACCCCAACAAATTTAATTTAAAAAAAGATCTAAAGAAAGGAACATGTCCATTTGGGTTTGTAAAATAACAGCTTTTTAAAACATCTCTGGTGTAGAAGTTACTTTTAATCTCCAATTTTGATAATTAAAACTTTTACTTGTACTCTGAATGCACCTATAATACAAGCTAGATAATATAGTACATTTACCCTGTTTAATTATTAAAGTAACTTTCCATAGCACATAAAAATAATAATGTTGTTTTCTTAAAAATGAAAGGCAAAGACTGTGAAGCCATATTTATAACATATCATTACACCTCTGCCATGGATTGTCATCCAGATAAGCAAAAACACAAACAAAATAATCTTTTAGAGGAGGGAAATAAACTCAATATATAGGAACTGAAATTACTTTCCAGTTGGTTATCAAGGAAGTTCCTTTATCTTCTGCTTTTTACACCTTTAAGTTTCTCCATTATATTTAAATGCTATCTTCTGTGAAGCACTTTTCACAATTAATTCGCAACCTCCTCTTTTATTATTTATTCTGTGACTCAATTAATAAACAGAGTCTCAAATAAATTAACTGTATACTTAAAGAACCCATCTAGAAATATGGTTGTGCTCTCCTGCCATCTGCATCGTGAAGATAAGCAGTTTCCCGCTCAGGCTGCGAGCGCCCAGCTTGCAGCAGGCGCAGCTGCTCCAGCTCCCGGGGCTGCAGGAGGAATGGGCAGAGAGTTTCTAGGTTATTCCGGTGGACAGAGGACACCTGTACAATGGGGAGGTGGCCATCCTCAGTCCCCTGACACCTACTGGGATGGTGGCTACTTCAAGGCACGCCAGCAGTTCCCACCGAAGGCTTGGTTCCGGGCACCTGTGCATCTCCACCCCACACCCCGTCGCCATGCCCCACTTCCATCCCAGAGCCCGGAGCTGCACGCAGATCAGGAGCTCCACCTGGAACCTCAGGACTATCCTCCTGCGCTTCCTCCGGAAAGAACCCAGCACCTTCTCACCTGCCTTCCTGATGCACAGGAAAGTGGAAAGAGAGCAAAGGCTTGGGCGGGAGCTCTCAGGCCTCCTCAGAAGCAGGTTCGGGCCGGTGGGCGCAGAGCCTGCTGGCGGCCCTGCCTGCAGGCCACGCTTGGGCTCTCCGACCTTTTCTGTGTCCATTGAGATGAGAACCATGAAGTGCACCCTGGGGCCCAGGCCGACAACTGCTTCGGGGACTCAGAGGAAAACTGTGGCCACAGGGAGGCCTGACACCAAGGCCCCGGACGCATAGATTTGCAAGTTTTGCCTCGCCAGGCCGGACTGTGTGCGCCCATGGGGCACCTCCCCACCAGAAGCTATCTCACCCAAGGTTTGTGCTGCCTGTCTCCTTGGATTGTTTCTTGATGTGTCTCGCTTTCTTTTCCTGTATCATCAGGTCTGGGTTTTCCTGTGCATCAGGGAGGAGGGCCATCGGTGGGAAGGGGTTGCATGGTGTCCTGAGGTACCGGGACCCTGGCCTGCTCCCCTGCTTCTCTGGCTGGAGCCAGAGACTTGGGGTCCCAGCTTGTGAGAGGATGGAATAACTTTGTTACCTCCTTTCTCTGCTTTAGATTATTTGGAATCTAAATAAAATGCCTTTATGAGGGGGTTGAGGGGAGAAAGCCACCTTCATCAAGGGGTCTCGGAGAACATATGGCCGATAGTTTTCAGATATATTTGGTCAGGGTCAAGGAAAATGCACTTATTTCCCAAAATTCTTCCTTTGTCCTGTTGATTAGATTACATACTAAATTAGATAAGTGGTCAGTGTTGTGCTTCCTTACAATGGATTTTCATTTTCAGTAATTCTTCAGTAAGTAGAAAAGGAAACTTTTACTTTTTTGGGGGGAGGGTGTTCTTTTTTATTCTTTAAAAAAAGGGATTGTCGATGTCTTCTCTTGAATTAAAATCTGATTATTCCTTTAAGCCCCCCACCTTCCTCATTCACCTTTGATTTTTCTTTTTCTCCAGTTAACTGTCTTTCCTCATTCTAAAGTTAGCTCTTCTAAAATTGACTATCTTCTGCCAAAAATACTATCTGGCGATCTTCCAAGGTTTTCAGCACTGATATGTGTCAACTTCCAGGATTTTTCAATATGGTGGTTTGTTTCTCATAAAATCTGCTCCTCCCCAACCCCAACCCAGTTCATGTGTTGTAAATTTCAGCTTGATTTCTTAGTGGATAAATTAGACAGTTTCTTCATCCCCATAATCCAGAAAGACTGAGGTACAGTCACCGAAGCCTGGCCATCACCTAAACTTGGGGGCAAACTGAGCAGAAAAGAGAGAGCTGGTTCCATTAAATTTTATGATTACATATTTAGTGAACCTAGAAGATGATTTTAAATTTACCCAACTAGACTTTTTATTATTTGCAAAAGCACCAATTTAAAGTCTTAATGGAAGTTTTTTTTTAATTCACTCACAAACCACAAAATGAAATTTCGCAGCAGCAGCAGTGATCCTTCGGAAATTCCAAGATTATTTTGATGATACGGTCCATGAACTTGGCATGTGGTCCATCACTGCTAGACCCTCAGGACTAAATGAGATTTTCTCAGTATTTTCATAGAATCGGCAGTCATGGCTAAGGTAGTTGTATAAAATTATCATAACGTCCTAGGATTCATAATATCCAGTTTGTTCTTTGCCATTGTCCCGTGGGATCTAAGCCTTATTATATCCTTCTTACATTTTAATTTATTTTATCCTAGTGTTGAAGAACACATTTCTATTAGACAGTATATATTTCTTATGTTTGAAAAACATTTTCTCTTGTTCAGTGTTTGTCGGGAATAGGACATGATAGAAAAGCCACTAGACTGAATATTAAGAGACCTGGGTTTGTATCTTAACCCTTCAATGTCTTGACTCATTTGTTTTTACCTTATTTGTATATTACTTAATTTCCTTTTAAGGAATAGAAGGTTACCCTAGCTAATAGAGGGAGAGAATAATTTCTAGGGAGAGTTTAGGGAGATATAAGGTTAGCTTAATTAAAAGGAAATCTGAAAAATCTAAAAGAGAAGAATAGTCTCATCAGGTCAATAGATACTATCCCAGCCCCATCTCAAATTCCAGAGAAGATCTATCTCATTGGTCTAAAATTTAGACTCTAAATTAGGGGTGTCGAACTCAATCAGAGAAGGGGCCAAAATCTAAAATCCAGCCTAAATCGCGGGCCGAATGGTTTACTGAACAGTCATAAACTGTCATTGTGATGGAAACGCAGCGGAGTGCAGTGATGACAGCGCGGTGCGGGCCACATTGCAAGGCCTGGCGGGACAGATTTGACCCGCGGGCCTTGTGTTTGACACATGTGCTCTAAATAGAAGAAAATGGAGGAAAACAAATCATCTTGATTGATTTAACCAGATTGTATTTAATGGGAGGCACATTTCAGGTGTTGGTAATGGAAGAACAAAAAGATGTTGGCAAAATAACAAAATCCCAAAAGAATGTAGCAAAATTAACCAGTTCTTCAGTCTTTATGCTATCACCCACATATTGCTCCAGTGATTTTTGTATGAAATATTAGAGAGGCAACATAATACTTCAACTTCATAACTATCTGTGAACTGGGGCCTCTTTCCAACCTGTCTGTCACTGCTTTGGGCCAGTCCCTTATCCTGTCTTTACTAGGCTATTGTAGCTTCCTGGCTTTCTGCATAGCATCTCGCTTTACTCCTCCTCCTCCTAAATGCTTCTCCATATCGGTTAGAGTTATCTTTTTAAATACAATTTGTCTCTTAGTAACTCTCTGTAACTTCAGTATTGTTTATAGAATTCTCAATACCTGTTCTTATCACTATCTGGGCAGAATTAGATTTAATAATACCTATCTATTATTAAAGCACTTCGTACATAGCTTATTTATAGTTACTGATTCACTGGATAATTATTGTAAAAGATAGAAAAACATCTTTTTAAAACAATAAACAACAACAAAAATATCAGAAAAACATGTAATCCAAACTGTCTTGCTGCTTCAGTTTTCTAATGGTAATTTGTATCTCTTTAAAAAGATCCATATTACTTCCCCTTCACTTACAAAGCTTGATAGGGAAAGAATAAAAATTATATGTATTTAAAGAAAAGAAACAAAATTTCAAAACGTCTGTAAGTTCTGTTCTACTAAGGTATCTTGATATCTGGAGTGAACATCTCTTCCTTTTACAGGCCAATGATTTTTATATATACAAAATTGGCTTGCAACTAATTTCTCTGCATAATGAACTGACAAGTGAAGTGAATTTTGAAAATTCTGGTGAAAACACTGGGTAAAAGCATTTAGGGAACCTGAGAAGTAATACCATGTTTCCCTGAAAATAAGACATCCTTCGAAAATAAGACCTAGCATATGGAAAGATAAGACATCCCCTGAAAATAAGACCTAGCGCAACTTTGGGAGAAAAAATTAAAATAAGACACTGTCTTATTTTCGGGGAACAGGGTATGAAGAGGAGATAATAAGAAATATTTTAGGGAAAGGGGTTTGTGCAACATGAAACCCTTTTTTTGTTGGGAAACCTCAATAGAAACACTAGTGAAATTTCCCCAGGATAGGAATTCTCAAAGGGTTTGTAAAAAATAGTTGCATCTCATATTTAATTTTATGTCATTTTGGTCTCCTATGCATT